AATTCATTATTTTTAGTTTCTAATTCTTTAATTAAATTAATATAAAATAATCTTTGCTGTTCAGATTCTTTTAGTTGCTGTTTAAGTTTTTCTAAGTGTCCTTTATAATTATTATAATCATCATTTATAGAAGATATAAAATTCAAATTTTTTTCCAATTTTTCAATAAAATTATTATTTCTAATAATTTGATTATAATGTTTTTCACAGATAATAAATTTATCTAAGAATTCAAGAGCATTTTCTAATTCAGGATAATATTTAACTAAAAAATTTACTTTTTCAATAACTTTTAATCCTGTTGCACCTCGTATCTTTTGGTTTTCTTTAATTTCACATTCAATTAATTCAAGGTCTGTATTTTTATATTTTTTTACTAATTTTTTAAATAAGCATTTTAAATTTTCTGTATCTGATAGAGCATTATCTTCTTCTGTTGTATTTATTATTTCTATTGTTTTTGTTGTATTTATTGTTTCTGTTGTTTCTACTATTTCTACTATTTCTGCTATTTTTGCTATTTCTGTTGTTTCTGCTGCTTTTGTTGTCTCTACTATTTCTGTTATTTCCATTAAATCTATTATTAAAAATTTAATAAATTAAGAATTATTTTAATAAAATTATTAAAAACAACTCATAAATTAAATCATAAATTCTTTTTATAATTTTTTTTTTTAATCTTCAAAGGTGAGGCTATGTTCTTTTCATAATTTTAATAAATTTATTATTTATATTTTAAAAATTTATTACAAATAATTAGTAAGCATAAATATGATTAACAAATTTTATTAAAATCAAACAATAATCAGATGATTATATAGTGTTTTACATGGGCTGATATTTTTAAAGATTTGAATCCGATCCCAAAATACAGATTAAATCCAAATTAGAATTCGAAACTATGTCATATAAATCCAGATCTAACTATATTTGTGCAAGACCATTTTTTGACAATCTGTTCTAAACATAATAGTATAATTCCGACAGGTCATAATTCCAACAGCCCAAAAAACTTACGCATTTAAAAGATCAATTCATCATATATTATATACGTATCATATGAGATAAACTAATTTAAGTATTTATTTATATAACTGATCTTTGGGGGTGATACTTGGTTCGTCTAACCCCAACAGTCAAACTTTTTAAGTAGAAACTCTGGCATATTTAAAGCGAAATAGCCTCTTATAATTTAATGAATTTTGGGTTAGGGCACTTGCGATGATTTATTCAAACTATTTATTCAAATTATTAATTCAAATGTAGTTTAAAAAAATTAGTTTTGCGAAGTTTTAACTATATAAATAGTATAGAGCTCACAAACTTAGTTGAACTCAAAGAATGTACTATCTGAGATTGTGACATTAATAATTTAGTTGTTAAGAACTGTCCTCAGATAGAAAGAATAAATGTTAGAAATAATCTTCTAACTAATCTAGAATTTCTAAGTTCGCTTGATTTAAAGAAACTTAAGTTAGCAGATGTTGGTCTTAACAAAATTTTAGAAAGTGATTTAAGACCTTTTGATAGCATTATTAACTTGCGTAGTTTGAATATTGATAACCTAATAAGTTGAAAAACTTTACAGGAAGGTAGACATAACCATTTCATTGGCTTCCTTAAGCCTCTAGAAAAGTCAAAAAAATTAAAAGAATTAGATACTAGCAACACCGACATTGATGAAGAATTGAATTATCTTCCTATGAGTCTAGAAAAAATATGTTGTTCAGATGATTGTTTGCCAGTTCCTTAGGCTATTTTGCCATTGTCTTTTTCTTGATATCATTGCTTATTTTTAGTATTCTAATGATGAATATTTTCCTTTATTCATCTAACTTTATAAACTTTACCAAAACCTCCTTCGGCTAAACATTCAATATTAGTAAATTGTTCATAAGATATTCATTCAATAAATTTATTTGCCTCGGTAGCTACTAGTTGGTATTTTTGAATGAACTTATTTATTTTAGAGTTGTTGCTTGTTCAATCGGAGAAATTTGCTTGTTATTCAAGAATTTATTTAATTTATGGCTATAAATTCAAAACTGTCATTAAAATTTGAATATTTAAAATGTATTGCATCTAAAATTCAAATTTTTTTAATATATGTATAAAGCTTTAAGCCTAAATTAATACTACCAGTAAAAAGATGTTCTTATTACATCTATTCCAAATTTTTGAAAGCTTTTTGTTTGCTCGATTTAATACCTCAAAGCCATTTAGTTTGTTTTGGAAGATTATTAGATTTTTCAAGAACAACTGAATGCCTAAAACATAATATTAGTAAAATATAATATATGCCAGT